TAATGAGATGAATAAATAGACAGGGATAACTGATAAGAAATTTTGGGGAATTGACGGGACTCCTACAATATATAATAAAGGTAAAGTCATTAAAACTGAAAACAAATCAATAAAACAAAATATGTAGTATATTAGTTTGCTAGAGCTTCCATAGCAGTGTACCACAGACAGGCTGAGTTGAACCACAGAAACTTATTTTCTCACAGTTCTGGAGACTACAAGTCCAAGGGTGTGATGTTCACAGGGTTGGTTTCTTCTGAGGGCTTTCTTTCTGTGTCTTCACATGGTTTTCCCTCTGTACCTGTTTGTGTCCTAATTTCTTCTTATAATGAAATCAGTCATATTGGATTAGGGCTAAGCATATGATCTCATTTAACCTTAATGAGCTTTATAAATGTCCTATCTCTAAATACAGTCACATCTGAGTACTGGGAGCGTAGGACTTCAACATATGAATTTGGGGGGAGGAAGCAGACACAGTTCAGTCCATAACAGAAAGAGATTCTAATTTATTAAAATGTTGTACTAGTGTGAAATTCAGGGCCAGGTTACTAAGTTAATTAAAAAATTGTTTTCAGTTATCTATGAAAAAAAGGAGGAAACCATTTTCATTTATGAGACTTGTGGGAAATAGATTATTACAAAAACTGCACCAGACATTGAAATAGGAAAGTACCAAATGATCATTGTTTTAGTCTGCTCGGGCTGTCATAACAAAGTACTGTAAGACTGCGTGGCTTAAACAACAGAAATTTATTTTCTTATAGTTCTAGATCCTGGAAGTCCAAGATCAAGGTGCCAGCCGATTTGGTCTCTAGTGCGGACCCATTTCCTGCTTTGCAGATGACCACCTTCTCATTGTGTTCTCACATGGCAGGCAGAACAAGCTATGGTGCCTCTTCCTTTTTTTATAAGGGCAGCAGCCCTATTGGATTATGGCCCCACCCTTACGATCTCATTTAACTTTTATCACTTTCTCACAGACCCCACCTCCAACTAAAGTCACATGGGGTTAGGGCTTCAACATATGAATTTTAGAGGGACACAAACATTCCATAAAAATCATGAAGCTATCACTTTCTAATTACTGTCTTCCCCTTCCCACCATCAAGAAAGAACAACTTTAGCCTGCCTGCCCAAGTTTGGGAAGGGGCTTCTGGGCAGAGAACTGGAACCAAAGAGCCAATTACCAGCAATGTTTTATTGGAATCTGTGTCACCACACAGAGCTTTAAAAGAGCTAAAAGAGGGACTTCCCTGGCCATCCAGTGGTTGAGACTCCGTGCTTCCAATGCAGGGGGCATGGGTTTGATCCCTGGTCAGGGAACTAGGATTCCGCATGCTGCATGGCACTGCCAAAAAAAAGAAAAAACATGAGCTTCTTTTAAAGTGATGAATTTGGAAAATTGGTATAATATTTAGAAAAATAATCCCTTTAGATCTTCACTGTATACTTAATTCTCAAAACTTCTGGGGGGACTTCCCTGGTGGTCCAGTGGCTAAGACTCTGTGCTCCTAATGCATGGGGCCCGGGTTCCATCCCTGGTCAGGGAACCAGAGCCCACATGCCGCAGCTAAGAGTTCGCATGCCGCAACTATGACCTGGGGCAGCCAAATAAATAAAAATTACTCTAAAATAAAACCTTCCAGATGGATTTAATATTTAAAATTATTAAATATTTAAAATTTAAAGATTTAAATATTTTAAAATGAACCAAGAAAATATAGATGAATATATATTTGTTTATGGATAAAGAAGGCCTTTCTTAAAGAGCAATAAATCACTGAGGAAAACATGTTTAGGTTTGACTTCCCTTGTGAAAATAGCTTCCCTTGATTTAAAGGAAAAAAGACCAATATGAGAAGTCAAACAGTAATCTGGGAAAGACATTGGTAGCCAAAATGATGGACAAAAGGTTTATATTTTCACCACACCTATGTCCTCTGCAATTCAGTTAGAAAACACTAAGTTCCCAGTAGATAAATATGAGTAGGACACAGAGACAACTCGTGAATATGGGAAAATATCCAACTTGTTTTAAAGTCAAAGAAATTTGTTGCCTATAAAAGAAGTAGAGATTTTTTTTTAATAAGTGAAATAGGAACTTTATACATTACTGATAGCAGTGTAGTACTACCCTTTGGGGAAAAATTTTTGCAGTAAATTTCTTATGATGATAAAAATGCTAATAACAAAAACAACTAAGTTTTATAGCAATTTCTGTGTGCCCTGCACTGCTTTAAGCCTTCACATGTTTTAATTAATCCTGTCAATATCCTATAGTCTAGGAACTTTAATTATCCTTATTTTACAGTTGAGAAATTGAGGCACAGGAAATGTAACTTGCTCAGGATCACAGAAATAAACTGGTGGAGACATGGCTTAAACCCACTGGTCCTACTTTGGGGATGTTTTTCCTCATGGAGTCTTCTGAAAATTTGCTGGGGGGCAACTTTACTCAAAGAGATAGTCTGCACCGTGCCCCCTTTTTGTACATGTTGGCATTTTTGTTCATGCAGTTCTTGCTGTTTGAATATTCTTTTTTACCCTCTCTGGCTTAGAACAGGTGTCATTCCCTCCAAAAAGCATTTTCTGTCCCTCTTCAATCTTGACCTCCCCATTTCTGATTCCCTTCTGTCACCTTCCAGATTGGATATCTTTCTTTGTGTACCATTACAACCAATTAACCAAAAATTTCTTAAATGTTCTGGCTATGTTTCTGTACTCCCCACCCCTCCCAACTTCTCCTACTGCTGATTGATGGCAGGAATTGTGTCTATTTTATTTTAGAATCCCTAGCGCCTCATACAGTCCCACATAGTAGGCTCTTTCCTTTCCTTGTTAACATTTTCTTACTTTACAAAGTCTTTTCAAGTTAATATAACTCCATCACTGTAATCATAAATATAGTGAACAACACAAACATGAATGTCCATGTAGGGTCAAGTTTCAATCAGTTCAACTGTGTTCTTCTTAACAATTTAAAAATAATTATTTGGCATTGTTGTTTAGTTGGGCTTTGTTTGTTTTGTTTTTGTTAACGTGCTATCTCTCTTTGGGAAAAAAATGTCCATATCTGAAAGATAAGCCTCCACCTAATATTCTCTTGCTTTATGAACTTCCTCTTTTAAGGTCAATTTTGACCATGAAGCATATTTCTAGAATTTTTCAATTTTTGGTTTGATTTTGTTTTTCACTGTAGTGATTCTAGCCAAGATCCCTCTTTGAGACTGCAAAGCAATTTAATTTTTCCCTTCAAAGGTACAGTGCTTGTTTTTTGTTTGTTTTTAGAATTACTGCAAAAGCAGTGGTTTCATGGAGTTACTGCTCAGGGTATTTTTTCTCCCAAGAGACACAAATGTTTCTGCTAAATTTTTATCCTCACAATCTGTATTTTGATAATTAAGTACATCTTAGGCCTTGATAGGTTGGCTGCTGTGGTGCTCAAGGTCAAGGATCATCTCTTTTAGGGTCACATTTATTGTGACCATCTAATGAGAGCACCACATCTCTTACCTGGGCTGGTTTTAGATGGCTCTGAACATTCCTTAGTATCAAGATTATTCCAGAAACTTGCTATTTTGAATTGCTAATCTTATTCCCACTTGAAAGCATAATTTAAACATTACTGCATTTTAAAGACAGATGAAAAACTATTTCTCAAAAATTTTGTAAAAATTACAAACCTCAGTATGAAATCAGTACTTCTGGCTTATCACAGAACAAAGTGTGGCAGGGAAAGTCAAACTCAGTGTGGTCCTTTTTCAGAAAAAGAAAACAGTTGACAGCAGGAAGCTGACCAAATTTGTGGGTGGGGGGGCAATGCTGGTATGTGAAAAGAAAGCAAAAATTTTATCAATCTCCAGTTTTGTGGGTCTCCATCCACTTGTTAAGCATTTGGATTAATGACTTTGGACTTCGGTTTGGAAGGGCATTCCTGCCCCTCTCTTTGGTAGACCACATCTGATTAGAAATGAGAGTGAGGGCAGGGTTGTGTTAAGGTTGCGGAGGTTGGCAGTGGTGTGAGCTAGTAAGTCTTTCTGTTTAGACTCCTCCATCAGCCATTATGTAGCAGAAGTTGCCCCATATATGCAAAGAGCATTTAAAGTTTAGAAACACCATTTTTTCTCTCTACAAAGTGTGACTTTCAAGACTCAAAAAAAAAAAAATTAGCTTTGGGCCTTGGAGCCGAAAAGGAGGTTTTAATTCTAGGCTGCATCCTCCTCCTCTTCCCAGAGCAAGAAGACAAATGTTTTGGCCTCAGTAGCCAAAGGGATTTAGTGAAAGAAAACTGCTTACGGATAAGAGAAGATACCTGAATAGGTAGCCGAAGGTAAAGAGTGTTACCATAGCATAGCGGTTAAGAGGACACACTTTCAAGTCAGAACAAATTGGTTGAAACCCCAGTTCCCCATTTATTACTTTGTCATCTTAATACTGTTATTTGACATCTCTGAACCTTGTTTTTCTCATCTGTAAAATGGGTAAGTTTTTGTAAATGAGGATTAAATTAGTTTATATGTGTAAGGTATTGTGTGCTTTTAACACAGCAAACACATAATTGGTAGTTGTTGAACAGACTTCAGAATTCTTTTGCAAAGGAAAAAAATGAATATGACATTGGATGGGAGGCTAGTACTCCTTAGGCTGTAATATATGGATATTTCAAGTTCCAAGGAAAGAAACATGTTCCTGATATTTCCTCTAGTAGAATTCCTTATAAGGATACACAGGAACTAAAGACAAAAGCGGGTGGAGAGTAAGAAGACCAGGAATCACAATAGTGACAGTGAGGCCGGCTGGGTGGGAATAGGTGAGTCTGGTGTCTGCACAGATCCTGTGTAACGGAGAACGCACGCTTAGACATGAGTTCCCTCCAGTGCATCTGTGTTACTAATAAATTCCAGTATAGTAATGGAGTAGGACTGAGCTAATTAATGTTTTAATGAATAAATGAGAGGTGGTGAGGTGAGCTTGACCGTCCCCACCTCTTCACTCAGGTGGTGAATGGAAAACCCGTTATGAGACACAACTTGAATTGAATGACCAACTAGAAAAGCAGATTGTTTCTCTCAAAGAGAAAATGGAAAAAAATCTGTGGAAATCCTTCAGGTACAGAAGCGCCTATATATATGTTTTATAAGTGGAGTTAAAATTGATAAAACATCAGTTGCTCATATTTGCTTTATTGTAGACAGACTGTCTTCTGTTCGTGTCTATGAATGGATGCCAGTGGTGAGTAAAAGATGTTGAAACAAAAGGAATAATTGAAGGAAATTATGTGTACTTTTCCCCAGACAGATTTCAAACAAAAGTTTAAAGACTGTGACAAGGTCCAAATAAAATATCTTATTCAGTGGAGCTTTCCTGTGATGTAAAGAATCCTATAAACAAGGCCTTCAGCTTGGTCTCTCCTGTAAAAAGCTGGGCAGGGATTCTGTTGCAGGTACAAACAAAATGGAAGTGAAAGGATCTCAGTGGTCAGGCTGGGGGGAAACCTGAGTGTCTATTCCTTACAACCTGAAAGAGCCTGTTTAACTCAGAAATACCTCTCTCATACCCATCTAAAACAGTTCCATTCTAGTTCCTAGAACCCATAAATTACCCTGTAACCGCACTGGGCTGCTTCACCTACTTTTTCTTTTGGTTGCCCTAGTGACATCTTTCTTCTTTTGAGAAGTAATTTAAATCTCCGATAAATGAATTTATATTTTCTACTTTACAAAGAGTATTCGTTTGTTTTTCATTCATTCAAATATTTGTTAATATTTTTTTTAATGTAGAGGAGGCCCAAAGCATGACTTATGTTGAACTCTTTCTGAATTTTTATTTCAAGAATACTCAGAAAAACATGGAAATCTCGTAAATAAACCAAGGGTACTTTGCATGAAAATGAAAATACGATACTCAGCTAAATTGGCAGGACTTAATATTACACTAATAATTATAATAACTTGTCCTAAATTAAACATATGTAATATGCAAATTAACTTATGTACATTATTTCAGTCTTGCAACAAACCCCATGACATACAATTTTATATTGTTATTTTAATACATGTGATTCTAAGCTTGAAGAGATTGAATGATTTACTCAGTTTCACACAGTCTGGAAATGTGGAGTCAGAGTCTCTCCCTCTTAAACCTCTGCCATTTAACTCTGCTATACCAACAGCCCTTTGATACTGCTGATCAGAAATAATGTGTTTCTCAGTAGCTGTAGGTAGAGCACTAAGCTGCCTGCTGTATTCACAGAAGCCCTGGGCATTTATGGAGAGCGCTCTTTGAATAACTGCAAACCTTTAGTGAAAGACATAGAAAAATCTTGTATTTTTGTTAATGAATTGAGGGAGAAATTAACTTTTTTGCAGACCTCTCTGTTATTTACAACCCAGAAATACCCTTATGTCTGTGTGTTGGAAAGTCAGGAAAATAACGTGTGTTTTTTTGTTGTTGGAAAAGTGGTGAAGTTTTTTCCTCTGCCATGGAGTCATAGCTCCATCTTGTGGTATTTAGAAATTGCTGCAAGGGCTCTTTTACGCTTAGCGTTTCTTAACTGTAGGTAGAATTTTATTGCTACCTACAGAATATAAAATATCAAGTTCTACCTACAGAATATAATATATTCTGGCTTCCTGCTTCTTGACAGCCTACCCCCAGTCATAGCTCAAGAAACGGGGTATCTAGCCTCCTGGAGGGTAGCAACAAGTGCTGGTGTGACATGGAAGAAGACTCTGTAGCATATCTAAAAAGCATTTAATCAGTTTTCTCATTGCTACCTCAGACTCTGTAATTTATTCATGTTCACAAAAATACTTATTTCCCTTGATGAATTTGTCTTATTCTTGAAGAAAATGTCTTTCTCTAAGAGGTTTAGATCTGGAGGCAGAGAATTACATTTCTCTTCAGTAAAGAACAAAAGAAATGTTAGAAGAACCAAGAGTGGGGCCACATACTAAGCAGAAAGGAGAGAGAATGAAAGTTCAGGCTCTTAAGGAGTTGGTCCTCTCTATTCTCTGGGCAGATGCCCTGAGTACCTGGGTTTTCTTACACAGTGGAATCCAGAGGGCGTTTGTCTGAAGAGCAGGGATTAGGAATCTAACCAGGGAGTTGGTGATGGAAGTAGCCAACTACTGAGCAAAAAGCATTAGGGATCCAAAAATCCTATATCCAGTATAGGAAAGAAATCTCTCTTTTCCGAGGACAAAAGAGTCTTATTCTTTATATCAGAAACAATATTTGTGAGATTCAGACATGTACCATTTGTGTAATACAAGTATTTTTGGTTTTCTGTTAGGTTGATAATCAGAGAAAAGGGCCTAAATTAGTTGTTTTGTGGGGCAGAGTATGACTTCAAATGCCATTTGTAAATTTACTGACTCTCTATCCTTGTTGTAGATTACTTAGTCTTTAGGAGCAACCTGAACCCGCATATACTTAAGAAACTGATATCAGTTAGTTTGAATACTGATTTTGAGTAACTTCAAAGTGCAGCTTTGCTTATGAGCAACAGAAGGATGAGCATTGGTTTTTGACCTGTGCATGTCTAATTTCTTTAAATGTTATCATTAGAAAAAGAAATATGAAACGTCCAATAAGTTATTTTCAACCTGGACCACTAAAGTGGACTTGATTTTAATATTTTAGAAAAAAGTATTTACTTAAGTGAGAGTGGGGTTCTAGTCCTTGTTTGGATACAGATGGGCTTCAAGCCTTCAACCTTTCTGAAGATTGCTTTTCTCATCTGAAGGCAGTATGCTTAGATAAACTTTAAAGTGCCTTACAGTGGTATAATTTGTTAAACTTTAATTTTAGCAAGATGTCTCAGTTAAGGGTTATGTTTGGCTGCATATAGGAGAAAGGCTTAAACAAGTAAGGTATTTTGGAGCTTTTCCTCATGTAACAGGAAAGGTGGAAGGTATGCAGTCCAGGGTTGGTGCAGTGGCTCTATAATGCCTTCAGGAATCCAGACTCCTCCTGACTTTCCACTCTGCTGTCCTTTAATGAGTGGCTTTGTCCCCATGCTCGCAAGATGGCTTCTCACTTGCTTCACAGTCTCATTCAAGGAAAGAAGTAGGAGAAGGGAAAAGGGAAAGGTGAAAGCTAGTCAAGTCAGCTTCCTCTTAACGAGCTGCACCCAGCAGTTTCCCTGTACATCTCATTGGTTAGAACTTTATCACCTGGCCACCCATGTTTGCAAGGAAGGCTGAGATTTGTAGTGTTTTAACTGAGCATAGTAGGACGAAGGGGAAGATGGACATTGGATGTGCAGTCAGTTCCATCTGCCACGCACAAGCTCTATCACCACATTTCATTTTAAGGTAATATGTATTTATTTAATATTATTTGGAAAATAAAAGAGAATAAAAGTATTAAGTTAAACACATCTACTGTTGTCTTCTTAGTAATTTTTGGTATGTATATATATTGATTAAAAGGAACAACTCAATAGATAAGACAACCAAAAGGGGAAAAAAGGAATAAAAAAAAGGACTGCACTTTTAAAAAAATATGTAATTGTAACCATACTTCATGGACAATTTTGTATTCTATTGGTATGTTCACCATGGACAATTAAATCAATTATTTCTTATGTTTTCTTCATGTACATTTTTAAGGGCTACATTATATTCCATTGCATTGGATTATTAATGTTCAATTACTTTTCCCTATAATTCAATAGTTTAGGGTATTTCTGGTTTCAATTTTAAATACAACAAAACCCACAGAGGACAATATGGCAAAAAATATATTGTAGTATTTGCAAATCTTTGGATTTTTGTCACTTTTTGACCTCAGCTTTTTTAATGAAAATACTTTATAGAGTCGAGGAAAGATGATCTTGAATTTAGTATATGCCATTCCAGTTTATTTTAAAATACCTTTCTAGGGCTTCCCTGGTGGCGCAGTGGTTGAGAGTCCTCTTGCCGATGCAGGGGATGCAGGTTCGTGCCCCGGTCCGGGAAGATCCCACGTGCCACAGAGCAGCTGGGCCTGTGAGCCACGGCCACTGAGCCTGTGCGTCTGGAGACTGTGCTCCGCAATGGGAGAAGCCACAACAGTGAGAGGCCCACATGCCACACACACACAAAAATAATAAAATACCTTTCTACATATATTGTGTCTAAACATTCATATAAAAAAAATCATGCTGTATGTGGCATTCTTCTAATTTTTTTATTCTATCCATGTTAATACATAAAGATCTAGTAAATTTTATCTGCTATATAGTATTCCATTAGATGTATATATCCTAATTTATGTATTCCTCTATTTCAGTACATTGAAGACTTTTCAAAATCTCACTGTGACAAACATTGCCAAGGTGAACATCCTTATAAATGTCTCTGAGTACAGAGTGTTCCTCTGGACTTTGCTAACTTTTCTGCAAAGGCTAGAGAGTAAATATTTTCAGCTTTGTAGGTCACCCCATCTCCCTCGCAACTACACATTTTCACTGCTGTGTTCTAACACATCTTCCTTTACAAAAACAGGCGGCAGCCAGATTTGGTGCCCAGGCTGTAATTTGCTGGCTCTTGCTTTAGGGCAGTGGTCCTCAAACTTCCATAGTAACAGAATCACCTGGAGAACTTCATAAAAATATAAAGTTCAGCCCCATTCTTTATCCAGCTTGCTACCTCTGCAGTCTTTATTAGTTCTCCAGCTAACTCGAATACACACAGAAGTTTGAGAACCGCTGCTCTAGCACACTTATAGCGGAGTTTTTAGATCGCGAGATATGCACATATTCAAATTTTCAAATAAAGATAACGTCACTCTGGATCGATCTATCTAAAGACACCCTAGGTCTACAGTTAGCTCAGTATGTCAGGAATAAATAAGAGAGGTGATGGGAGATGAGCTTGGAAATACATGCAAGGACTACATAATAAAGGATTTTGTATCCATGTTAGGGAGTGTGAACTTTTTATATGTGATGGGAAGCTACTGAAGTATTTTGTATACAGTTTTAAAGTCATCTCCTACCCCACCCCCCAGGACTCCCCAGGGATGGGTGAGACTTGAAGCAGGAAAACCAGTTAGGATGCTCTTGTAATAATCTAAGGGAAGGTGTTTTTCAGCTTGGACAGTAGTATATGAGGATGGAGCAGAGGTGACAGATTGAAGAGATGTTGAGGAATGTGGATTTTATACGTATCTAGATACTCGGGTGAGAGTGGGAGAGGATTTGAGGATGGTTAAGCTTGAATAACTTTGTGGATTAAAAGGAGCAG